TTTTTTACTGTAAGCTATATTGATTAAGCATTTGCTACTTTACTTAGCTAAAGAGGATTATTTCTTTTAAATCGAAACAAGTGATTTTCTGAGAGGATTTCTAAGCATTATTTATTTTTCTGAATGACTTTCGAGTACACGAAATCGTATTATGAGTGGAAGCTTCGAATAAGTAAGTATTAAGTAATTTATTAATTATCTCTGTTTTAAAGCTTAGACACCAAAGCGGTTAATTAATTTAAGAGTAATTCACGATAATGTAACGTTTGTGCAGAGTTCATATTTTTTAATTCTTTTTAATATTTACCTAGTTTTGATGGAGGTTCTAATTAGACATTACATTTTTACAAAAAATGATTTATGGATACCTAATAATTATGACGTGAACTGGCGATCAATCTCAGTAATATTCAACCAAAAGCTCCAAGCATCGAATTACATGTACAAGACAGTCAATGGAGACTTTAGAAACTTTGAATTGTTCTCCTTGAACAGACAGATGTTGGACATTATTGACATTTTAAGGTTCTCTTTCATTAAACTGAACTGAAAGACAAACTACAAAATGTTTTTTAACATTTAAATTTTTTCTGTTAAGTGTTTAAAAAACGTCAGTTCTATTTACAGAATTAGATTTTACAAAGTCTTACGAATTACGTAGTATTAATTATGACTGATCAAGTGACTACATTTCTTATTACTTTTAAAAGTGTAGCAAATTATGTGAAACGGAAATAGAAAAGAAGGGCTTAATTAATGATAAGACAGGGATAGTATCGGACTAATTTTTCCAGCGTAAGCTTGGCGGTGGCGTTACTTTTGTTAGAGGAAATTTACTTTGTTCAGGATTTGAGGTTAAATCAAGAAGGGAGTCCTGGTATTTTATTCAATTAAGTGAGTTTTGTGCTGGAAAAAGGAAAAAGTGTTTTTGTCATTGCACCTTGTTCAGAAAAAATAAAATTAATAAATTGTACTTTGCGTGAAACAAATTTTATTAATACGTAATATTTCATACTGAAGAAAGGTGAGTCAAGGAACAAATCGTTATTTGAATTCAAGTCAGGAGATTTGACTTCAATATTTATTCAGTGCGGAGCTATATCATAATGATGTTGACATCTATGAAGATTTGTTTAAACATAAAAGATCAATTAACATTCAATGATTGATCTTTTTGCAAGCAACACAGCAAACTGGTTTCAAAATCGTTAGTTGCATGACAGGATTTAGGCTTACATTCAACGGATACAAATAGTTTGTTTCAGTTGCCACAATTAGGGTCATGTGGGTAATACTACCATAAGTATTCACCAGATGCTTCCACTAATTCTAATACAGGCCTTGCAAGCCTTTACCACAATGATCGTTGACAGCAAAGCTCTACTACGCCTGAATATTATTATGTTTTGTAGCATTTCTATTGTGTTGGTCAACATAATTTTTGTTACGAGTAGTTGAATTAGTATTACCAAGCTAAAAGTTCCAACACTGAAATGTGGGAATTTATGTGGCCATTTTTTAAAACATATTAACGGTGCAAAAACATGCTGCACATTTAAAAGGAGATTTAATAAAAGCTGACACATTATGGTGAAGACGAGGCGTGTAAATAAAATGAATGATAAATCGCAAAAATTCAAGTTTGGTCAAGAGTGTCAACAAAATGGAGACAAATGTTCTGTATGTACGCAAAACCTCCCTGAAGTGTAAATAATAGTCACAGCACGACTAGTTGAATCTCTCCTAATTGTTTTCTTCTGATCATTAATTTTTTCAAGTTGTATGAAGCTTTCTATTAAAGCCATAGATCGCTCCCACGATATAGCGTAGCGAAACGAATGTTTTTTAAGCAACAGTTTTATAAAATACTAGCTGACCCTGTGAACTTCGTTTCACCTACAATTTAATTTTGAATCTGCAAAACCGAATGCGTTGAAATCTTGCAGATGTTTTAAACATATGATAAGCATAATAAATTTTTATTCAAAATATATTTACTTATTCCCTCCAAAAAATTGATGGCGTCAGCCCAAAATTTTGCCAAATGAATCCTATCTAAAATGTCCAAAATAGGATGAGACTATACTTGTGATTTATCATTACATTCATATTTTTTAGGTTTGCTTATAGGGGGTGTCTCAAAAAAATTAATTACTGAGTCAATTTATTTTATTGATTGAATCAAGAATTGCAAAACTGAATTTTGAAATATTGCAGACGTTTTGAAGTTACTGTTTGACATGGTAGGTTTTTAATCAAAATATATCTGTTTATCAAGCCCAAAAACTTGATGACATCATCTCAAGATTTTGCCGAATAAATAATATCTAAAATGTGCAAAATATCATCAGTATATTTTCGTAATTTATCATTTCATTCATATTTTTTACATTTGCTTTTACAGTGACTCAAAAAAATGTATGGATCAGTCAATTTATTTTAGAGAATAACTCAAGTTGCCGAAATGAATACTTTGAGATCTTGCAGACGTTTTAAAATTATTGTAAGCATGGTAAATTGTTAAGAATAGTTATTTACTCCCCCCAAAAAATTGATGGAACGGCTTACTCGATTTTCGCAGATAATTTTGGGAATACAATACAGTTATTTTTAGTATTACACTGCACCAATCGAAGGTGGTATACGTGTTGATCGTAAATGTTGATTAGGTCATCACAAAATTGTGTGAAGAAAAGACTCAACTTGAAAATGCTGAATATGTTTCATTATACTTTTGGTGCGAAGGAAGTTCTGTCGAAACAACGGTCGATCAATTTTTTGACAATGGTTGATATAAATAAAACTCAGTAGATGCTCATACTCGAAATACGAAGTATCTACTCGAATATCAAATCAAAATATTTCTACTTTTTCTATATAATGCTAATACTTCAGTACGTAACAAATGATGCTCAAGTAGCATCTCGATATAACAAAAAAGGAAAACAGTGACAGTGTTCATCACTCAAAACTCGAGTCACCAAAATATAAGTTAGTATGGGGTAGACACCTTGAGATGGGAATCTCTCTGTTAGAAAAAACGCACTGCACAATTTATGCATAAATAAAAGTCAATTACCTGAAAAACTTTCGATATTCCCGCTCCTAATGTGTTTTTCAAACTGAATGCACCTTTTGACGACGTTCCACGTTCATGAAAGTATCCATGTTTAGTCAAAATTCACTCGTACAACGATCCTGCTCGTGTTCTAAGCTGCTTTACAGACAGCTCAGTCATTTGTCACGCCGATGCTCATTTTTAGATTAAATGCTCACAAAACGCATACGTAGATGTTCAATTTGTGTCCGGGGAGATGCAATGTTTTCAAGTAGGTACTCAGTACATAGAGTAGATGCTCAGGTATATAAGAGTAATAATGAAGTAGGTACTTCGTACTTCGAATATGAGTATCTACTCAGTTTTATTCATACCCCCCAATGTCTCGCTTCAATGTTTGATTATGTTGATTATGAGCACAACGCTGATCAACTTCCATATCCGAATTACCCATGAAATAATTCATTGCGGATTGACTTCGTGGACCTATGTCAACTTGTCGTCTTCTCGACATTGTAATGAACTTCATAAAACGACACAGAATTATTTTCACAGTCAATCAAATCTGTAAATTTTGTCTTGAGAATTTTAAAATATTGAAAACTTCAAATTAAATCCTCGAATAACGGTAAAGTTTGAGGTTTTGTCGAAACCAACAAAGTGACTATAGGTAAATAGAATGGCAGATCAAAATTAATAAGACACTTTCGCAATGTGTAACTAAATTCACTTTAATCAAGACTTTTCTTAAAATAAACGACGTTTTTTTTACGAAAAAACAAAGAACGACTTGAAATGCAATATACTTTTCACAATCGCACGGAAGAATTAGTTTTGTATGACACGTCAGTTAGACGACAGGTCCGTCAGGAACGCCAACTATTCAAATTAATTCGAAGTGGCGATTCCCATGCAAAATTTTTAGAATTTTTTTATCTTTTAGCTGAAAGTTTGGTCTTGAAATATTTATGGAAATTCAGAGAAGGTTTCAACGGTGAGAAACAAAAATACTAAAAACAGAAATTCTATTTTCCAATACAACATGTTCTGAACTGTGAAACATTTGATGTCTTTTGTCTTTTTAGAAATAAAAGATTGTCACTTGGTTGTCAAGAAGAAAAGTGCTGTTTTTAGGGTTTTACCGGCAATTATTCGAATTTTTCTCACCTTTTAAACCTTCCCTAGACCTCCACGGACATTTCAAAACCAAGAAAAGATAAATCCCTTCAGCCGTTCTCGAGTTTTAGCGAGACTAACGAACAGCAATTGATTTTTATATATATAGATAACTGATAAAACTATTTTTAAGTCAATAGTTTAAATATTTTTATGTTCAACTACGGAATCGGTAGATGTTATTTAATTAATTTTATTTCTAGTTGAGACAAATAATGTATTTTAACGAGCCTTGTTTCATGTATGTATAAGAAAACTGTGAATCCGAATTAGCTTAGACAAACTGAACTACGTGTATTAGATGGGAGTATTATTTGCAAATCAGTCGGGAACCTGAGAGATATTTTCTAACAAGGCGGAAATCCTGTATCGCAAACTTAGGGAGTGTAAATGGAGATGGGTAGAGACGATATTAGGGAGGTAATAAAATCTCATTACCGCTCATTCTCGAGATATTTACTGTAATAAATAATTATTTTTCCTAAATAAAATTTATTTTCTTTACTCAAAACCAAAAATTATTAGATACCTATATTTTATATTTAATGGTTATGCCATTTCACGTTATTTGAATTTTAAATATTTAAAATAAATAAAACTAAAGAAAAAATAAGTGTTAATAACCCATTTACTTAAATGATGCTCCTTTGTAAAGTAACGATAAACAAATTTCAATCTAATTAGTGCCTTGTGTAATTAAATTATGTTTTTCGTTTTCTTGTGTGATCAATTTTAGACCATTTTTCAATTAATTTGTTTTTTCCAGTTGAACACCGAGTGGGCCCAAGTAGAAGTAATCGACTTGATCAACGATGGATCGGGTCTAGCTTTCGGCATAATAGGAGGCCGGAGCACTGGTGTCGTTGTCAAAACCATTCTACCTGGTGGTGTAGCCGATCGGGTGAGTTTATACGAAGTAATTAATTTGCATATTGTGTAAGATGCATCGTGTTAGACACAACAAAATTTCAACAGTAATAATTACCAAACGCCATTTTAAACAGTTGTTTATAAGATATGGAAAGTTCAAACATGACTGATTGTTCATAAAACGTAAAATTGGTTGTTGTATAATGGATTAGTTAACTTTCTTAGGGCAATATGTTCTATATATTTTATGCCATGGAAATCACTTGCGCAATGACCGAGATTTATGATGAAAACCTGAACGTTAATATTTAGTAATGAATTACATCTTTCTAGGGGACGTAATTTATAACCACTGGGATTCAGTTATGATACAACACGACTTTTAGAAATAAAGTAAAAGAGGAAAGTAAAGTTTATTCAATATATAACATAAATAACGGCTTTCCGGTATTCTATAATTGTTTTTTGCGGTTGTCATGTTTGGGTATATCTTTATGCTTGATGATTTTTGTTCAGTTCTATAGAACACATCAACCACAGCCTTGAACGAAGTGTTCGGCATAAAATTAATAATCTCGTTAATTGGAGTTTTTTTTTTTGGAAAATGAAGAACACATTACTGATATTATTAATATTATCTACATTGCATCTCTTCAATCAAATTGATCTAAAGGTCCGGGTTAAAATGTTGATTACGTCATAATGAAATTTTGTTATAGAAAACTCACTTGAAACATACGCATAACATGATTCTTTACCCGTAGTTAAACAGTCTACACATAGTTCATTTTAACTTATAGGGTTATACAAAATAAATTAAAATATTAAAATGTAATTTTGGTTTAATATTCACATGTTTTCTATAGTCCATAGGAACTGTGTAATCTTTTGCCACCAAACTGCCGGAACAGATTTTAAATCTCCATTTATTACATACGTCGATCTATCTGTCCGTAACTACAAACAGCGGTGAATGGGTTATCTGGGAATCGCGAAATTTCCAATTATAAATTTTCCTTGCTTTTAAACACCACTTTTTATTTCCCGAGTTGCTTTAACAGTGCCTACGACCGTATAATGCTATTGTACTTGTAATTTCGCTGAAAAACGTTCAACAATAGCAAATTTATTAATCTTATCTCTTGAATTCATTTTTACCTGTTCGGTCCATATAATTTTTCAAGTTAAGAGAACATAAATTTTTATATGAAATTTGGTTAAATATTTTACAAAAAGCTCCATTTTTCGCTCTAATAAATTTTTATTGAATATTGACGATTGATATTAAAAATTTTAGATTTATATTGTTATAAATCTGTTAATGGATCGCTGCAAAAAAACTTTTTTGAATATGGAGCGTGCATAGCAATGTAGATTTAACTGCATTTTGTGTTTTATTTGGTGTTATTAATCTTAATTCATTTTTATCTTAATTTTCCCTCATCTTCCAATTTTATATCAAGAGGTTCTCCGTTCCTTTTCATCGGACTCCATGTCATTAAAGTTCATCAGTTACGTTTCGTGAATTTCTTATATAATGTTGATTTCGTCGATGCAGCTCATATTTGCATTGCTTACTAAAGTTTAGGTGAATCTTTAGATTATCGCGTTCATAGAAAAACGCCAAACGTCTCTGCATTCCAAAAGATATTAGGTGCAAACTCACTCAGTGTTTAATCTTAACTTAGGGTGATTAACCCAAACTGTTGGCGAGGAAATAGTCTTGTCGGTGGAGTTTTAAAATTCAGATGTCAACTTTGATGACAATTAGTAGGTTAAGGAAGGTGAAATTACTGTTATTTCGTTTGTGCGTCGACTTATTGTCATTATGAAGGAATTTTTGAACTACCACCCTTGCTATTTAAATATTTCCATACATCAGCGGGATTATTCGCAAGAATTTTTCCATCACATGTATGAAAGATTTATAACACTGTATTTTAATTACACCGTCTCAATCTACAGCGTTATCAATATTGTCACAACTTTTTAAAAGTGTGCAATCAACGTCACAAAGTACATAATGCTACGAAAATTGTAGGTTTTTTGACTATTAGAAAGAAAAGTGTGAATTTTAGAGGGTTTAGAAAAACACAAATAAATATTGGTGAACATTTATTTGTCTAACTAGGTACTAGGTAGTACTACACCGGTACTAGTTCCATGCACAAATTCTTAAACTGATTAGGATTACGTCCTCTGAATAAATAAAGTGAGCGTTTAACAATATTTGGAAGGGCTGTTCTTGTCCGTTAGGGTGGGTGGGACCGAATGTTCAGATCAAAAGACTAGCACAATTAAGGTCCAACAACATAAAAACGTTTGACCTGTTTAATTGTCCAAACGTCTTTTCATCTGAACATTTCTTTATCTAACTAGGTAGAAGTTTAAAGAAATATTGTTGAGCAGCTGAAAAGTATGTATGTATATACGCATATACGTACAGAGAAAAAGCTAATAAGGGTTATGATAACCCAAGCATCCCACCTTAAATTGACATGTGAAAAAAAAAATTGAAAGCCAGCGAAAAATTTAAAAATTAAAAAATTTGGCCTTGGCTGTGATCATCTGACAAATGGAACCCTACGCTGTGTTTTTGAAAAAATGGCGGGATGCGTTCACATGTAAATGGTGGACCCCAAGGTCGAAAAAGTACCGCTATATAAAACACAAAATTTATCGAGGACACAAAATTATTTATCCCTCCACTGAAAAAAAAAAAAGAAAAAAAAAGCGAGCAAGGGTGACTCGTGACTTGCCAACACACTGCCCAATGGGGGTCGATTCGCAATCGCTTCTCAGCTCCAAAACAAACGTATTATTAAAATATTTGAAAATCATAAATTTATTAAAAACAAAGCAAAATCTGAAGTAAAGTAACTGGATGCAAATACACAAGTTATTACAGACGTGTGGCAGCAAATTTAAAATTATGGCAATCAACAAGAACACAAAGTTTTAATAAGAAACTGTGCAGCGGCACCGGCAACAGAGCGCTATGAGAATGTGGCGATCGACTACGTCAGTTTCATTCTAGAACACAAAATATCCATAGGGGGCGTTGTAGCACGAGCGGAGTTTGGGGCTCCTGGTCGTGGCTGTTCACCTACCCACGACGGTGATTCTATCTATCGCAAGCACTGCCCCATTGAATTCTATTCTAACCTGCATCTTGTATTATAATACAAAAACACGTAGCGGAAACTGCACAAAGATGAGGTTAAATAATTATTTAACCTCAGTTCCATTTAAATGTTCAATCTCTATAACTCTAATAATAAACTACTACTGAACAAGTGTCAAAAAGAGCAATAAACAATATTTAAATTCGCCATACAATCTTGTGAGATTTTAAACAACAAATAATTCTTATTTCAGATTAAAATTCGACATCAGATAATTTATATGATGGAAACATTCATCAACAAAATATTTACATAGGTTAAAATTGTGAGATGAGAAATATTGCATGACGTGAAAATTGCAAAGCGAATAAATTTACATGAGATTAATAAGTGCCACACTTTATCAACAATTCAAACAAAGAATTTTTATGATGGTACATTATGCCATGATCCAAGTGATTGGTTACTTAAAACAATTTGGTTTGAAGGTTAATATCGTGAACTGTTTATCCCAAACAAAACACATGATAAATAAACACAAAATACATCAGGCGTTGCGGAAAACCTCCTCGGTGATGGTGTTTTTAGGGTTGCGAGAAAGTTATCTCGGTGATGTGATGATTATATGATGATAATAGCGATGATAACGGCATAAGGAGAGAAATCTTTAATCCCCCCATCTCGCAGTCCACGATATTATGAATTTTGCTGCACTTTTCTACGGCTTTTTTCCACAGTGGCGCAAAGTTATGTTAATTTAATTGCCGTAAATGAACTATTAGAAATCTTGCGTGAACAATTAAGAAGTGTTATAATGTATTAAGTATTAGCATCCAGAAACTTATTCGTAACTTTGTTAAACAAAAGACTGAATCCTGACTAAGTGAATTTCATGAAATATCCTAGTGAGTATTTATCTAAATAAATCTAATGTCTGCTAAATTGTGTTAGCACCAGTTAACGACTAAAATCCTAACATAAACTGTGAATTTACAAACAAGAAATTAAATATACACGGGTTGGCGTCAGTCGAAAATTTACATTTTTACAGTTTAGAAAGCCGTCGTTATTTATAATTGTCGTTAAACAAAGGCTTCCTCCCTTTTATTAACTATCAAGCCAACTAAACTTAACCTACTCACTTACCGCGCCTTTTACCATGCTCTCACACCTAGAACCAAACCAACAATGATGCTTTCACCTCTCTACCAAGCCGTCATCTACCAACCCTCTAACTAGAATCCTCTAGCGAGCTACCACCTACCTAAAAAGTGTTAACGTGCACATGGTTGCCAATGTTTAACGACCTGTTTAATTGTATAAACGTCTTGTCATCTGAACATTTCTTTAGCTAACTTTGTAGATGTTGAAAGAAACATTGTTGCGCAACTGAAAAGTATGTACATACATATACGCGTCTACAGAAAAAAACTATTAAGTGTATATAATGTTCATGATGAGGTGGACTGCAGACTGGAGTCCGAAAAGGTTGTGTCAGAGACCAGAGGTCGCTGGTAAAACCTAGCAAAAATTTTGGACGTAGATGTCCATCCTGCGGCCTGGCAAATAGTATCTAGGGCAGTGCCTCTGCGAGCGGCAGCGGAAGTGTTGGCATGAAGAGAGGAATATGCTGTAAATATATTTGTGTCAATTCCCGCTGCTTGTACAGTTTGTTTTACCCACCTACCTAATATGTTCACGGAAGCGCGCGTATACGGCTTCCGGAAAATAATAAAAAGGTAATCTTCCTTCCCTCTCAAATTTTGAGTGGCCTCGAGATAGAGGTGAAAGTGGTAAAGACACAGAGCTGCGGCTCTTCTGTAAAAATATTAAATTCATAATTGGGATAAATGCCATCTCTTAAGGAGGTCTTAATAGAGTCCACGACTGTGGCGCAAACCTTGGA